CCTTTAGCTCTCACACAGCATAGTAGAGAGAAACAGAGAAAACAGAAAGAAAACAAAACAAAAGTTTAATCACTCTGAATCCATATACACAATGCAATAACAATTCAGTGAAATATGCACACATTATCTCTAATCTTTATCTATATATATTTTTTTATCTATTGCAAAGGCTGTCTCCCTACTGGGGTGTGTTTTCCTTCCCTCTGTGTCCCACAGAGAGAAGAAGGAGGAGAGGGGGCTACCTCTCCACTCCCCTTAACAGGAGGAGTAAGCTAATTGGCTTTCTATGTGAGGCAACGCCTCTTGGACCCGCCTCCTAATTTTAGCAAGGGCTTCCAGTCTAACCTGGCTGTCAAAGGGTTAACATCGTCTCCAAACCCTATGGTCCAAACCTAGTGCATTTAATGCACAGACAGGCACATCTCACCCGTGGGTGCTGTGACACCCCTACTTTCACTAAAATGTACACTTTTTACTAGTGGAGTCATTAAAAGGAAACTTATCGGTCAAGTAAGATTTATTAAGTGACAACTAAGCCAATCATATCTATTTGATTACAGTTGAAGCACAGTAAGGTTACATTTGCATTTAATCCTCCTGTCACTCATCACTGAGTCAGAGCTCAGAGCTCACACATGGAAACATGCTGCATGTAGCATCCTTCTGAAAGAGAGTAAGTCACCCAAACAGAGGTTTTTAAGATAAATCCACCTCACAAACCAACATAAGTGTAACATTTTCTCCTCTTGGTTGTTATTTTAGCTGTATGTATTTACTCCCATAACTTTACAATGTAGCAGAAGTCCCCTTTGCAGTTTTTCTAAATAAAAGCACATTTTATGTGAAGACCGGAAAAAGAGACTGAGGCGTAAGGCAATAAGAAAAGCAAAATAATGGCATCACAAAGAACCGTTTTGAATCTGGTTTCTAGAGCTAACTCGGTTACTCACAATGGATGTTCATAAAGTTAGTGTCTAATTATCTTTTGTAACTTTGTCTTGTTATATGATGTTTCAGCTAAACTTAGTTATTGGACATTAAATGAAACAGAATGTGTTGATTTCCTAGAGGGTGGTAATATACTAGCACAGAACACACACACTTTTAAGATCACTGCTCCACCCCTGTGCACAGAGTCTACGCACACACAGAAATCAGCACAATATCCTCCCAATCAACAGCCAAATAGAAAAATGTATTCTCTAATAGTCAAAACCAACTTCTTCACCTATTTTAAACCAAACTATATGTTCTTTTTGAACAGACAAAATTTGCAGCATAATGTGGTCACACACATACGCTCAAACAGACAGAAAGAAAAGTTCACACTCCAATCAGCCGGCAGTTCTAAACTTTATCAGGAATTTTTCTGTTCTTTTCTCTAATCTTGCTACCTGAATGGGTACAGACTATCCTCGCTGGTCTCTCCACTTCTGTTAAAAACAGATACTATATACACTTATGCTATGTATAAACGTCCTTTATTAGGCTCATGTGTATTTATCAGATTAAACAAACATCCTCTGAGGGGCTCATAGATTTTTATCAAATTGAATATATAAAGTCCCCTGAAACAAAGGGCTCATAGGTTTTTAACACTGATGAAGATCAGATAAGTAAAAGTCCTCTGAAACAAAGGCTCATATTTTTTATCAAATCGGATATATAAACGTCCCCTTAGACAAAGGGCTCATAGATTTTTAACACTGATGAAGCAAAAATGTCCCCTCTTATAAGTTACTAAATCGCCTTTTAACCAATCACCTGCTATATATGCCTATTTAATAATACATCTATTCTATTTATCAATCACACATATACAAGAACATTTCCGGATCAAATACACATCTCCACACCACACAGACCTCTCAAAACCATCCAAATCACAACACAAGAGACAAGACACAGACAGAGACAAAGACCGTCCAGCAGCCACACAAACACTTCAGGCTGTATAGAGCTTGAACGCACACACATTCCAAGAACAGCTGCGCCTCAGCGAGCGCACACACATTTCAGTTCAGATTTTGAAGTCGACTCATTTATAATTTTCCTCTATCAAATCTTTTACTTTGGTCAAACTTTTAACAAATTGTCTTTTAACAAATTACTTCACACTGCATGCTTCAATGCACACTTTTTCCTTTACTCAGCGCTTTTTTCCCACTTTTCTCAAAACTCTTATCTTTATTCCTTATCTTCACTTTTCATCTTTTTACTTCTCATCTTTACACTTCTCATCTTTATTTCTTCTCTTTTATTTTCCTACATTATACGTTTATCATCTATTCAAATACCCTGGCCAGGGATCCCCTTTGTTTTATTTTTACTCAAATTTGACTACTTCTTAAAGCCAACTTTCACTTCAGTGTCTAATTTACACATGACTTACTGTTAAGAGGATACGGGCCCTGTCCTTGTTAAACTTGCATGGTTATTTAGCTAACTGGTCTCGTTACTAGTTGCGCTTATGCTATCATTACCTTTCAACTTTTTTCATCTCTTCTTCTCTTATTTATCTCTTCTTTATTTTATTCCCCTTTATTTATATACTTTTTAACTCAATAAACCCCAATTTAGACGGAGAATTACTCCAACATCAACACATCATTGCACTTCAGTTCTTTGACAGTGCGGCCAAAATTGCAGATAGACGACAGAAACAGCTCCGCAATATGTGCAGCAAAAAAAGAAAGAAACACTTACGAAGTGATGGAAATAATAAACAAGCTGTGGTCCCCTGCAGAAGGCCCCAACTGATCCTGTTCGTGACGCCAAAATTGATGTGGATTTCCTTGTTGTTGATATGTTTGATGATGAAGAAATTCGCCGTTGAGACTGACTTGCTTTCAAAGAGTATAATTTTATTTAAGCAAGAAACAGAATCACTGGTCACATCTGACCAGGAGGATCAAGAAGCCAATAATGATCTCTGTCGAACACACAGAGACAATTGCTTATATGCATCTAAACATCTGTTTTCCCGTCATGGGTCATAAAAACATCAAGTTACACAACCATATATGGCAATACTCCTATACAACACCTCAGTTTAAACATTCCACCTAAGGGGACTCCTAAATCTCCTTCAGATACTATCTCCAGATGCACCCATTGTAAACTTATATTATCTCTGTCCTGGTTACATCAGACACTTCAATATATAAATAAAACATAAAGCAAGTGTGAGAGAAAGTCATGAAATGGACAGTGACGGAAAGGACTGGTTCTCAAGACAGGGACAACATAAAGCTGGGTCAGCTCACCTACATGCTCACTCTGGACGGTGTTGTGAGGTGCAACGAGCCCAGGCTATTATTAGTTCAGTTTTTGTTGTAGCTGGATCACAAAAGAAGATCATCCCTAACACTTTCAGTGAGTCAGCCAGTCTCCAATCAGTGTCAGCAAAAGATAACCCTAACCCTGAAATCCAGAGTTACAAACATTAAGTCTGTGTTATATCTTCAAACTCTTTACAGATAAACTCAGACACTCAGTAATAAAATAACACTCAACCAGCACAAAAACAAATGCAACAGGAGGCTGAATGAAAACTGGAAATGTCATCATCATGAACAGTCTCTCGTTTACTTTTTCTGCAGGCTGAGACTAAAATCTGTCGTCCTGAACGGCTGTCAGCTCACTGATGACCCACTCGTCAAACTCGTCATGAGGCACAAAGAAAGGTCAGTTTGAATACATCTTAGTTTATCTGTGTACTCTGAAAATATAATGCTGCTATAGCTTGTGTAAACATGAAGCAGTAGGGAACTATAATATCATCTATATTAGAAACATCTTGTAATGTAATACACTGATGAGTTTTGATTGTGTGGTTGTGTTTCATTGGGCTTTTTTATTGTCTTGGTTTTCCTCCTGGATTTGACTCAACAATCACATTTCTTTATTTGCATCTGTAAATCCATCCAGATGTTCCCAGCCAGCTAATTACATGTTGGTTAAACACACTTGATTTGTGTTTAACCCAATAGTCTAAAGATTAAAAGAACACTCAACATTGAGCTATCAATAACAAAACAAGTTATTAAAAATTGTAATTTGGTTTGCCGAGTGTGGCTAACATAAGCAGCGCTAGCGTAGGCAGCCTCCGGTCTTCCCTGCAGGTTAACATCCACATGCCCTTGATAAATGTGCAAGTCAATATGCCAGTTTATTTCCATTTTCTAAATCAAAACGCTGCCAATCAGCTCTGCTCCTACAAGACGCTATCTGTTCAGTGTGCTAGTTTACATCCTGGTAGTAGAGCACGACCACCAGGCCCATTAACTGAAGCTACAGCCTCGTCTAGCAGGCGTCTGCAGCCTGACAGGCATTGTGGGGCGAGGTTTAAATAATTTGTTAAATTGACTAGTGATTCTGAACTAAATGCTCAGATCCCTGGAAACAAAGTGGATGTTCCATGTTTTTGTTTATGTGTTGTTTTCACGTCAGTCTTCGCAGAGTGGAGGTGTTTGGCTGTCAGTTCCTCTCTCCGTCCTGTCTACAGACTGTTTTTAAAGTATGTGATTTAAAAAAATGTGTCTTGCACAATTCATTAGATTTCATAATGCAGAAACAACATATGTTACACTTCTTTAAAGCTCCTGTGAGGAGTTGTTAGCTGGATTTGACACAGACTGACGTTAATATTCACGTCTCTTTATGAGCTTAAGAAGCAAATGAGACAATCAGCATAAAGATTCACTTTTAAAAAATGCAGCATCAGCCATTTACAAATGGTTATTTTTATGTCCAAACATATGCTGTGCAGATGGCGTCACATGAGGTGATAAACAGCACACTTCAGGAACAGCCTTTTACATATATATTTGGCACCGCAAGGATGATCAACTAGTGATACTGTAATCGTTAAAAGACTGCAGGGTGAGATTTTTCTTTCTTTAAACAACCCCCACTGCTCACACATGTACAGTTCAGTAAAGAGATAAGACTTTAAGGTTTAAGGATGTGGAAAAGACTTTCTTGCTTCCTGTCTTTTTGTCTCAATAAACGTATCCTTCCATTCATAAAAAGCTGAACAAACAACACGACATGTTTTCCACTGCATGTGCAGTACATCAACGTTTTCATGTTTTAGACATGTGCCGGCCTCCAGCACCTCAACATCGGTCAAGTGCCTCGAGTAAACACAGACTGTCTCACAGTGATGACATCACAGCTCAGCGGTCTCATTTCACTAAATCTGACTGGACTACAGGCGGTGAGTTTCACGTTTTGTGACTCAGAACATTTGAAAACACTGAATCTGTCTTTGAAGCTGGTCCGATGGGGAGCTGGTGGCGCTTGGCTATAGTTTTCCAAGCGGGCGGTCCAGGTTCGAATCCGACCTTTCATTCGCTCTCTGTATCTGTTTTTTCTGTCTTCACAGGTTTCTGATGTTGCCGTGGACTCTTTGCTTCAGAGCTGTGTAAAACTTCAGAGTCTGACTCTCAGCTCCTGTCCTGCAGTCACAGACCTGACACTACTCAACATCAGCAAATACACACCTTGTATCAGGTAACTTGAGCTCCAATATTTGAAACTGACTCCTATCACTGAATGTTGAAGAAGTGTTGTAAAACCTTTACCCTAAAAAAACATCTTGAAGACTAAACCATGATTCAGGACTCAGGACATTCAGTCTTATGTGTCCACTGGTGTGATCTTGATATCCTTACAGTTCTATTGTGGTTTTGAGTTGTTGTATGTGTGTGTATCAGGGACCTGGATGTGAGCGGCTGTAAGGCAGTAACAGATGCCGGTGTGGAGTCTCTGGCTCTGGGATGTAGACGACTTCAGCAGCTGGATCTCAGCTCCACCTGCACAGGAAACAGAGGGTACATCACAGCCCACACAACATACTGAGCTGATTGTCTCTCTGGGTTTATGATCATGTAGTCATCCTAATGGGCCTTTGCAGTACCCTTACTTTGGGATCCATTACATGTACTAAACAAAAATCTTTTTGATAGGTTGAACCTTGTTTAGTTTTGTAGTAGAGTGGGAGAGTTAGTTATTACACCAATCCCGATTAAAAAATTAAAAATGTAAAAACACACAAGAAGTTGTCTTTATTAGGGCACTGTTGTTCAAATTTAATGGGGGGGGGGGGCGCAGTCATTCCCTACTCTCTCTCTCTCTCTGATTTCTAATAATAGTGTCATATCTCTACATTAAGACATAAAAATATATTTAATAAAATATGTAATTATAGAATATTTAATATTTTTTATTTATTTTATTTTATTTTATTTTATTTTATTTTATTTTATTTTATTTTATTTTATTTTATTTATTTTATTATTTTATTATATTATTATATTATTTCATTTTTTTATTTTATTTAAAGCAGCTGTGAGGAGCCTTCAGTTTGTGGGGGTTTGGGCGCCCCCTGTGGACAAAGTATGTAGTGTGAAGTTCCCTTTAAAGCACTGTAATCCAGATGTGGTGTCTAAATATTTGTTTCTCCATGAAGTGTGAGGTAAAATAACTCCAGAGTGTTTTAATATTAAATATTTTGATGATTTCTTGGACATTATGTGAACTGTAATTATTTTAAGATAACAGTTAACATGCTATTTTCATTTCAGCCCATGCTGCTAGTTTGTCTACGAATCCCAAGATTTAAACTAAACTAATAAATAAAATGCTGACTTGCAGATTTATTTGTGTTTCAGGGTTACTCTCCTGGCTAATTACTGCAGCAGTCACCTTCAAACAGTCAAACTGAGTTTCTGTCACATCAGCGTGGAGAGCATACTGAAGCTCTGCAGACGCTGCAAGAGGTAAATATTCAAGAGGAGACATAAATATTCATTATAACAGATGATTTGTGATAATGACGACTTGTCAGGAACTTTTAAGAATAATAGTGTTTTTGTTGTTATTTGTTTTTGACCTGCAGCTGAATCATTGCTGGCACTGAGAACATCATCTCGACCTCATGTGTGATAATGCTTAAATAAACTATTTTCCTTTGGTATTTATAGAATATATTCATCCTCATAATTGTGTATTTTTTAAATCTAGAGTGTTTTTTCTTTTTGTCTTTGTCTTTTACTTACTTGCCTTCATGCATTTTTTACAATTCTAGGTCACCTTAACTTCAGACATTTCAGCCAACGTTGTGCATTCACATCTTTTTGATGTCAATACATTTAAATTGTTCTTTTTTGTATACATAACACAAATGGATTGGCTGCATGGATGAACCTTTTTATTCAACATAACTACATTAAAGATGATACTATTCAGAAACATGAAAGATTGGCATGAAATTCAGTGGAGCTTTGATAAAAGTGTATTGCAGTCCTGCCACCTCCTTGCGATGATAAACACAGTGTGAGAAATGAAACTTAACACTGCCAACCAGGGAAACAATGACCTTCTGTTCAGTGAGGTTTCCTGCAAGAGATCAGCTGCTGCTGGTGTAATTACAAATGTGATATGTCTGAATTTAAGATTTTTTTGAAAAAGAGCTGAACTATCTCTGTGAAAAGTATTTCTCAGTAACTTATTCTCTTACAATGATGCTTAGTTTTTATTTCATGTTTTTTTTCTCTCTCTGAAGGTTAAAGGTGCTTCATCTCTTCGGCTGTGCTCGTCTCCCGCTATGGAAGACATCAGAAAAGTGAACGCTGCTCTAACAGTTTATCCTCTGCACTGACTCTCACACAAACATCTGCACACAACTGGACTTAATGGTAAATGGAGTTGAGCTTGTACAGTTATTTTCTCGTCTTCTGACTACTCAAAGTGTTTTTACACCGCAGGTCACATACATTTCACACACTGATGGTAGAAGCTCCTATGTAATGTGTCCTCAGTACTACCACTGAGCCACAGCTGACCATGGTGTTGTAGTCAAGAGAACACTTACCGAGACCAAGACATCCCCAAGACCAGAGTGATCCGAGTCCAGGACACGACCAAGACAAGACCAAGGCAGGGCAAGACCGAGACAATAAATGATGAATTATTAATGAATATAAGAGTTTGTGTGTGTTTGTAGATCAATGGTTAAACATTATCTGATCATCGCACCCTCTATGAAAGTTTGTCGTTTTTTGTCTCTTGTTTTGATCAGGATCTTTAACTTGTCATAATTATATCATTGACCTCTGTCTGCAGACAATCTCGGACTGAGTGATTCTTTTCCTCACATTCAAAGAAAGACAATAACATTTGCAGAGAGCTCGTACAGTGAATGGAAAACTGCTAAAAATGTGAGAAAAGCATCAAATATAGTGTCCTTGATGATGATATTGAGGATTCACTTGTTGACTTGTGTAAAAGTAGCACTCTGAAAATCTTCAGAAATAATCACATTTAAAAGTACTTGTTTAGTGAAATTGTTCCTGCTAGCTTTTGACTATAATCCTTTTTTTTTAATCTAAATTTAGATCAATAACTTATTGTACTGAAGGGTGGTCACATCTTCAACAACACATCGTTGTCTTTCAGATCAACAAACCGTTTTAGCGTGTGAGCAATAATCATTTCTACAATTCATCTAGCAGACGCTTCAAGTAGCAAACATTTCCAGACTGTTTAATCCAGTTTTTTTTTTTTTTTGGTTTGGCTTTGACACAGAGCCAGAAATATGTTCTTAATCCCCCGGGGGGACATTTGGTACTCTGAGGAGATACTTTTGTATTTGGGTAACAGAGAAAACATTGTTATTGGTGTTGTATTGGAAACTTAGATCTCAAACCCCCCGACTGAACGATCAGGGTCAGCTGTGCCGGTAAAACATGCTTCTGATGTGATGCTTCTGAAATGCATTCAGACTCGCTATATGTGCTGACTCAAGAGACATAGGGCGATTGCTTAAAATACTCCATCCCCGGGGCGCTGGTGGCGCATTGGTTAGTGGGCACGCGCCCCATGTATGGAGGCTGTACTCCTCCAAGCGGGCAGCCCAGGTTCAAATCCGGCCTGTGGCTCCTTTCCCGCATGTCATTCCCCACTCTCTCTCTTCCTGATTTCTGACACTATCCACTGTCCTATCTCTACAATAAAGGTAAAAAAAAATACTCCATCCCCATAGAGTGTAACTGAGGTGCCAGCGCTGTGCCAGGAATCCTAAAGCACCTCGTTACTCGTGATTCAAAGATTATGATCTCATTAATTCAGAAACGCAGATTTTTATTTTCTCATGTGAATGCTTCAATATCATCATGCAGATTATTAAAAGTTCAAATGAAAGCTTTGTGATGTCTGTCCTCAAGAAGAGAAAGAGGGAGAAGAAAACATCTTTCTTTGTTGAATGACGGTCACATCGATCATTTCTGGTGCTCTGCAGGTCGTCAGAGAATCTGAAAGCTGATTGGCTTGTATGATTCGGCGTCAAGCAGATTTGTCATCAAAGTAGAAAAGGTTTGATCTAAAGTGGATTGTTAGCTGCACTTTAATGCAGATATCTATGTTGATGGATAAATCATCTTCAGAGTAATGCAGATGGGAGTGAGTACTTCATCAGCACGGATTGGGTTCTGCTTTTGGTTTCCGTGTGGACGGTTTTTCCTGAACACACTGAAGTTCTCTGCCGATTCCTAAAGCTGTCAGCAGCTGTAGCCTTCGATCTTAAAGACTCATCATGTATGAACTGGCTCTGTCTTTGGTGAAAGTGCATCTTGGTTCCAAGTTGCAGAGTGACCTTCAACTAGAGCATTTAGTGAGCTGTGAAGATTTTAAAACTAGGATGAAGGACCATGTAACAACTGTACATAGTTCTCTGCTTAACACTTCTTATTTGATTCCATGATTTGCTGATTTATGTACCGTTTGTATATGTCTGTCTTTGGTCTATGTCTGGAACTTTTATCCTCGTGTCTTGGCCAGAACTCTCTGGAAATAGAGCTCTTGTATGTCAATGAGAATATCTTCCTGGTAAAAAACAATCAATCAACGATCAACACAACTGGGACACAAACGTGTAACAAACAGAAACCAAAACTCTTTCCATCCATCATCTATACCGCTTTTTCCCCGCTCGGGGGTCACGGGGGGGGGGCTGGAGCTGATTCCAGCTTTCATTGGACGAAAAACGGGGTTACACCCTGGACTGTTCACCAGTCAATCACAGGGCTGACATATAGAGACAGACAACCAGACACACTCACATTCACACCTACAGACAATTTAGAGTCACCAGTTAACCTAACGAGGATGTCTTTGGACTGTGGGAGGAAGCCGGTGTCCAAAACACTGGGCATGTTGACGACTGTGTAACCCATAGTTACCTTCCACCACTGCTCTTCACACTGTTTCACTCTTTTTGGCTCGCCTGCAGGGAGTCTTCTACTTTCATTTCTGTCACGGCTCTAACAGCATTTGTAACAGCATCTTTGAGGGGTCTAAAAGTGTTTGTCAGGAGTTTAAAGGAGGAGGGAGGTTATTTAAGAGAGGTAGCAGAAGGATCGAGATGTATCTTGGAGCTGCAGTCTTTCCTCCTTCAGTAATGGGATTTTTTCAAACAAGGAGCAAACATCCGACCTGGCAACTTGCTTCTAACCCTTTCTGATTCTCACCTTAGAGGAAATAATGTTACATTTAACGATTCAACTTTGCTGTTGAGTTCAATTCCAGCAGGCTGACTTTTATAGCATTTTTCTTGCAACCTACTGTAACACTCTTTCTCCTGAAGCTAAGTCAACAAAGACATTGGGAGCAGAAAAAATGGCATCAAAAAGGGGAATGAGTGAGGAGGAACGACAGCGTCTGACTTCGCTCTTTCACACCTACGATGTGGATAATTCAGGGCAGATTGAAAAAAACGAGTTCTTTACTATTTGTCAGGAGCTCTGGGTGCCTTCCCAGGAGGCAGAGGGAATATTCAACCGTCTGGACGTGGACAATGACGGCAGTGTGACCTTAGAGGAGTTCATCAGTGGGTTCAGCGAGCGGCACGACGAGGAAGAGGAGGACTCTCAGAATGAGGATAAGAACTCCTCGAAGAGTGAGGAAGAGTTTCCAAACAATGACAAACATTTGATATGCAGGTGAGAGATCAAAACTTGAGCTCATTGGAGAAATGATAATGTGCACAAGTCATTACTTCTGAAAAAATGTCATGAAGGGTTACCTGATGGTGTACTTTTAACAACCTTAAACAAGAACTTCCATTTTCCAAGTCAATCCAAGAAGTTATTTGAACTTTTGAAACTTTTTATTAGTTTCAAGAGTTTCAAGATTTTCTTTTATTAAACTTTAGTTGAATTCACTGAATTAAATATACGATCCTATGAAAACTTCACGTCCAACAACAAGTGAGCAGACGCGATTAACGATATACTCAAATCACGATATGACACGTAAAATGATACCCTGTTCAGGATGTGTTTTGATCAACATTTTTAAAGATTTTCAAATGTTTATAAAGACATGCGTTAAAGGCACAGTATGTAGGTTCTGCCACCAGGGGGCTCTCAGTCAAAACAATAACAAAAAGGGAATCAAGGGAGTTCTCTCTGCTAGCCGTTTTTATCACAGCAGCACGAACAGCAACAGTACGACAGTTTTCAGTAGCAGTCCCGCTTCCTTATGCAGCGGTCTTTGACGTAACATCCAGTGTTTCCATGGCAACAATAAACATGTTGTGCCTGTCTCGGTGGCCGCCACGACACGTCCCGTTACAACTATAAAATTATGGATTTTTTTGGCTTTGATAACTGTTGGAAATATTTGAGGTAATGTAAGTGCATATATATATAACATAGAGTTAGTCAATTTTCAATCAATCAGCTCATATTATTCCCTTTTTGGGGTTCATATATTTAATCTATGTTCCTACTTTTGTACGTTCACAATAGATAAAGTTTGAAAAAAAGTGTCTGTTTTCATGTACTTGCTCCCTCTACGCTCTGAGTCCGTCAGCTACACTCTGTTGAGCCCACACTGTTAGACCCCACGTGGGCCAAGTCTGATCTGATTGGTCTGCCGATCCGCTCTGTCGTTATTGGTCAGTTGCTCAGCACGCGTCTCGGAAATTTCAACATGAGCTGCTGGGCTTGCCACAACGAGCCAATGGGCTTAGATCAGTGATCTCACACTGACAATGACGTCGGACTGACAAATTTTTGCACTTTAGAACCGAGCGTTACATGCCGCTAATGCTACAGCTAACAGGAGGACGTAGGAGAAGCCGCGTTTCCGCAGACTTTGAATATGGGACCTTAAATGAAAACATTGTCATACAATTCTACATATTGTTAATTTAAAGTCAATATATAAATAAACATGACTCTTATATTTCCATTCTCCGACAATGAAGGTGCGTATGTTTTCTTCATGAAAATATATAATGATAATATCTTACATGAAGACCTTTTTAAGTTTTGATTAAAATAAAGTATTAGAAAATTAATACATGTTTTGCACAACTAAAATGTAAAATCTCTCGGCATGAACAGAGTAGAATCAGAATCAGAATTCGTGTTTTATTGCCAAGTACATTTACACATACAAGGAATTTGACTTGGTGTATTGGTGCTAAACAATTAACAAGGAAATAAAGCAGAACTAGCAACAACTTAAATAATACAGAATAAGAAGCTATTACAATATAGAAAATAGAATTAAAAAATGTAAAATATAAAAAATAAAAAACACAAAATGTACAAAAGGTGCAATGTAGGAGCTGTGTAGTGGACTATGAGAAAAAAATCTTACAGTGTATGTAACCTTCTCACAGAGTGCATGTAAAGAAAATAAATTTAAGTCCAGTGGGCATTAATGTAACGCATAAAGAACAGTTTCAGCATTCGCATTTCTTTGATGTTTTTTCTGACTGTGGGGCTGATGAGAGTCTGGATTATATGGGGGGGGGGGCAGGGAGTAGCAGCCTTTGTTTCTGGCATTGAAGCACAGAACGTTTCCAACAGACACTAACTAAACCTTTCTCAGCTTTATGTCACCTAATGAAAGTTTTCATTCATGTTCTAAAAAAGTCTGGTCATAACAACTGTCTCTGAGCTTTTAATCATCCGCCCAAATCCCTACAGAAGGGATCTTGTCTCTGACTCTTGCACTCCTTTAGGGAAAAGGGATCATAAGTGTGCAGCATGTATTATGTTTGAGGTGTCTCAAGCTTCCCAGTGTGACGTTGTTTCACATACTTCATCGTGTTAGTTGTGAAAAAAGACGTACTCTCAACCTCAAAGTCTTCACTCTTTTCAGCTATAGACATCAAACAAGAGAAGGCAGAAGCAGATAGTGCCCCCTGATGGTTAACAAAGAGTATTGCAGTAGAGTATTTCAGCAGTTGTTTGCTCGTGGTATTTCAGTGTGGCAGCAGACTTCACCGTGTATTGGTAGTTTGTGACAGTTGGGTACGAGCGTAAAGACGACACCAACTTTACTCAGTTTAGTTAAGTTTGTTTTATTTCATATTCTGACTTTGATGAAGTACTTGAATTTGCTCAATGCTTGTTATTGCATGTCCTTCTTAGTGTTAAGTGTTACATCACTAAAATCAAATGTTTCCTTTTATTCTTTTTCTTGTTGATTTAAAGTCACGTTTTGTTTTTTACAGTATATATGGAACTATTGCCGAATGCTTCCTAGCAGCTACTGTGTGTTATTTTATTGTAAGTAAGTTGTTGAACAAAATTTTACCTGATCACAAAGAGCCGTGAAGATTTGCTTCTGACAAAATCAACCCAATGGTGAGCAGTAATTTTTTGGTAAAATAACTTTTTACCTTCAATCAGTTAAAATGGTTGTTGATGCCTTTTTTTGTAATCGTAGAACCAAACTCACCGAGGTCACTTAACAGGGGCCCACATCCTCTTTCAGGCCCCTGGGCCACCTCGAGGATTAGTCCGGCCCTGCTGCCTCCCTTATATTACTTTATCTAACAGTACATGAAGAAATGAACAGGATCTTAAAGAAATAAAAGTGTTCCATCTGGTATAAGGTTGTTAACGGGGGGCAGTAGCTCAGTCTGTAGGAATTTAGAGTTGGGAACTGGAGGGTCACCGGTTCAAGTCCCGGTGCAGACCAAATATGGAAGTTGGTCTGCCAGCTGGAGAGGTGCCAGATCACTTCCTGAGCACTTGCCCTTGAGCAAGGTACCAAACCCCCTCCCCAACACCAGCTCAGGAGCGCCCGCTGTGGGTCACCCTGACATCTCTCCATTAGTGCATGTCCATAGGATCTGTTTGTCTGTTTCAGCCTATGTGTGTGTTTCACATGACTTACAGAGTGTAAAAACAGAAATTTCCAATAAAAAGTCAATCTTAAATCTTAAGGCTGTTAAAAACAAAGTTATGTGGGATCAAGTTCAGGACTGTTCCCTTTTACTGCAACACAAGTTGTTCATAAAGTCAAATATAGGCATTGGAAAGTTTTTTCTTACATTTTTTGTTTTTGTTATTTTAGTTTTTATACACTGCATCGAAAACTGTTAGCTAGATAAAGTACGTTTATCATGCAGTCAAGTCTTCCCAGTTATGCAAATGACGTGCTTACAGTGCACTGAGTGCCTCTTATGAAGGCTGAATATCATTCTTGTGTATCAGGAAGTTCATACAGGTGGATTCAATAATTCATCCATGGAATTGAACTACATTACAGGCTACTAGCTTTTCCCCACAATGAAAGCACTTTCACTTGGCCTGAGGCCTAGACCTCTTTGTTAAAGTGAGAGAAAGAGAGAGAGAGAGAGAGAGAGCGAGAGAGAGAGAGAGAGCGATATCACACACACACCGCACACACCGCACACAGGTACAGATGACTGGTGTTACCTGAGACGCACACAGCAGCTTCTCAGTCCGTCAGACTTACTTTTGGCTACAACAAGCTGGGATATTTTTTCGTTCGGGGTGAAGACAACACAGAGAGTGTCCACGTTTTACAAATTGACCGTCCGAAATGGATTAACTCGATTGTTCTTTTTATGAAAAAAAAACAGCTGTCGACATGTTTGGATAAGAGCGCACCGACAGTGTGGAGTTAAACTTGACGGTCTTCAGCTGTCCGGAGAATAAAAACCCTGTCCTTCCTGTGGGGTCTGTGGATTCGTGTCTCAGCTGTAACTCACTGAAACGCCTCTTTTTCCCCCAGTCAGACACATCCCTCTATCAAACGGATGAGCGCAGAGGAGCAGGAGCGGCTGCGCACCCTGTTTCGCACCTACGACGTAGACAACTCGGGCAGCATCGAGAGGAACGAGTTTCTCACCATCTGCTCCGAGCTGCAGGTGCCTGCGACCGAGGCGGACCGGATATTTGACCGGCTGGACGTGGACCAGAACGGAACCGTCACCCTGCAGGAGTTCATCATAGGCTTCAACGACCGATACGGAGAGGAGATGGAGTCTGACGGAGGAGACGTGTCCGTGGCGTGGGAGAACTTCGAAGTGAGGATGGGCGAGCAGGCCAAGTACATCCCCAGGTGAGACACACACACACACACACACACACACACACACACACCTGTCCGCTGAGCAGGCAGAGATAAATATGAAAATATGGGCTTAATGTATAACAGTGAGTGCAGTGTGTGCGTAAAGTTCTCCGCAGGGAAATCCACCTGCTCTGAGTCACATCAGACATCACAGGACTTTAAAGAGCTACTCCACCTGTTTTATTGGAATAACATGCACGTGGACTGTCAAGAAAACAGTGATGGTGTTCAGGTGTGAAACGTCTTTAATATGTGAAGGCACCTCAATGTAAATCTTTGTTATAACCATTATTTCTATAACAATAGACAAACAAATAATCAAGTTGTGAAAATCATAGAACAGAAAGTAACAGACTCGTTTAGGATCTATTAGAATCATTGACATGGATTTCTTCTTTTGTTTAAGAGACTCAAATCTGATTAAAAACAGCTCAAACGAGTTCGGACTTGAACTTTGGCCTTTTTTATGATAAATTGTGCTTCTTAAATAGTGAGGTTGACATTAGTGCTCAGTTCGTTATCTCTACATGTAAAATAAGTGAAAATATTTTTGTCTTCAGAGTTTATCACATGTAGTGTTTCACATTAAATATTAAATTCAAGGTGAATGTGACACAAAAAGGGCGACAAAAGACGAAGTGACTCTTGGTTTAGAGTTCAGCTTTAAAGTTATAATGTCTTTAAACTTCAAGTTTCACTGGATATGTTTATCACAATTTAGTGCACAGTTTGATGAAAACCTTATGGCACGATGTGTTCTATATTTGAATGTCTCTCAGATCATTTGTTTGATTACTCGTTTAGTCAATTACTCAATACGTCAAAGACTAACATGCTAAACACTGACTTGTTGTGTAAATTTAAACTATTGAAATTTTGTTCAAATGATGAGTCAAAACCAGACTATACTCCAGAATTGTTTAAGGATATTTTCCTTCATTTTACAAAATTTCAATCAATAAACAATGAAATCAGTGAGCAGTAAACTGAATAATCTAAAATGACAGATTCATATTCATAGACACTCAGGTGTTTCTCTAACGCTACATCATCACCTCTTTTGATATTGTTTGATTCAGAGACATTTAGCAGCTAAAAGTAAGTTATCCTCATTGATTTGAACTCAATTCAAAATAAAGACATCAAAAACCTTCTCATGATTTAAAAATATGTGATTCAGCTTGTGTTTGTAGCCACGATGTCGTACAGTCAAACAACAAAACTGATGAAGTGTGTTGACACTTATTTGGTAAAAACTTCCAAACAACAAGAGCTCAATGATCTAGTTTAGCTCAGAATCATTTAACCACAGCATGCTTCCACCAACACTGAATGAGAAAGAAAAACTCATATTGTTTATATTTTAAGCCAAATCAAGCAGCAGTGTTCTTCTTCTTCTCTTGAAATATTTAACAACCTGTCAGCAGCTTCATTACAGACGATGAAAACACGTTCAGAATGTTTCTATACAGAGACCTAAATGTACTGCAGTGACTTTATGCATACAATAAAAGGGGGATTTAACAAAACATTGTCCCACAACTGTTCACACATTTCACAAATTAACAAAAATCATACCCACAAACCTGCAGAATATTTTACCTTTGAATGCAATCACATCTTCTTTTTTTTTACACAAAGTTATCCAAAAACATTTCCTGCCAGCCCCTTATTAAAACTTCATGGTGAGCTGATGTGTGATTGCAGCAGGTAATATTCAGGAAAATTCACCTCGAGAAAGTGGACAGAGGTGATGAAGTTTGTGTACTGCGACCTGGTTAGATTCTTGTGCTTGAACTGAAGCTGCTTCACACTTTTTTTTTTGCTCCTCAGTGTGTTCTTTATACTCTTTTGTTGATACTGTTAATACTTGATTTAAAGCATTAATTTAAAGGTCAAACTGTCATATTATTGTCATGCTCTGCTGCTTTGTCTGCCTCCCTTGATGTTATCATCATTACAGAAACGACAGCCTCCTTTTAAGCGTCATTTCCTGCCTGCTGAAGGCAAACTCTCCCGCTGCGAGGGACATGTGGGAAAGAGAAACTCAGGCTGTCTCCATTTTTAAAACACTTTCAGGAGTGCATGTGTGAAAGAACTATTATCACTGTCTTTGTGATCTTTCAGTAAGGAGATACTTAGTGTCATGTGAAACAATATCCAAGAAGAAAACTAATTTATGAACACTGCAGAGGTTTAGCCTGAGTGGGAACGCAGCATTTTATATCTAAAAAGATAAACATTTGAATAGAATACAATTTTTCCTTTATCCAGTCTTTGCCTGAATATTACTTATTTGTTTTTGCAAACTTTGCATCCCAAACCATCTTGAGTTATTGAAGCGGAAACGTACCATTTATTTCTATTGCAGTTTAAAGGAGCAATATGTAAGTATGACACCTAGCATTTAAAATGGGTACTGCAGTCCATATTCAAAACATTAGAGAGAGTATGCAGTTATATCTGTTTAAATGAGTGTCTGTTTATATCACACAAATACACATATGTGTATGATTATGTGTGTGTGTGTGTGTGTGTGTGGCCCTAGGCACGGCATGGGACCGATCCTCGTGTTCCTGTGCCGTGGCATTGCTGCATTGATTTTCACAGCGGTGTCATCTATTGAATGAAGCCTCTTATCTTCACGCAGTAACAGTCAGCTGAGCGTCCACAGCTCTGAAACGTAGCACAGAGCTCGCATCAGACCAGAGTGTGCTTTAAAATGATGAAAGAAAAGTTTGTTAAAAGTACGAGATGAACACATCCAGAACAATAAATCAATTACATACCATGATGGTTTGCTGACTGAGGATGATGTAATGGATGAGAACATTACACCTCTCAGCTGATTGAGGCATTTAGTGCTTCTATGATGTGTGTCCTCCATACTCTGATTTTAGGTTTAGTTGCTCTAGAACGATGTCTTCCTAAAAAGCCATAAATAACATATTTATATAGTTAAATGTATAAAGTATAAGAATCTGTTCTTGCTGTAGAGTTCTTGAAAATGATCTAAGCACATATATAAAAAGCTTCATTCTTGAAAAACATCCATCTAGTTTACCCTGACGTTCTGTTAATGTTACCAAATAGTTTGCAATATTATCTATGTGCACGATTTCCTGGAAAAAAAGATGTCCAGCACACCATGTTCTGTAGTTGAAGTTGGTAAATGTGTTAAGAACAATGTTCGGGTCCATTTTTGTATAATAACCTCATTGATAAGATCATTACGATATGATATGACACGGCACGGTACATTGTCCCCTTGGGGAAATGAGTCTTGTCTTCAGTGCTGCACACATTGAGCTGCCTCAACAGTAGAATCAGGTTATAAAAATAGCAGACAAAAATTGCCCAAACCTAATATATTTTGCACATTTCCCAAATTGCAAAAAACAGTAAAACATAAATAAGACAAAATGATATGTTGACTCAACGCGCTATGTAATGATACGATATGTTTCTTTTGGTCCCCTTGAGGACATTTGTCGTGGACTCCATCTCTGCACACTCTGAGCTGCCTCTACAGGAGAATCAAAAAAGAAAAAAGAAACACAACAATCATGTAAATGTCATGTAAATAAACAACTTAAATAGCACATTCCCTGTTTGGCACACAAGATTTGCATAACATTTTGATCGAGGAGAGCACAAATTCTTCTTTTTTAGTCGTTTCAGTTTACATTTGGGGACTGTGCATCATGTGCCATGCAGATGGTAAGGAGAGAGGAGTGTCTGCACTGGATCAGGAGATTTTAAATCAAGGAGAGGCTGCCATCATTAACATGAGGATACTTTCCAACACGGCCAGGTAGAACAAAAACACAGAGGTTTCTGCACTTAGACTTTGTTATTAATACATTTCCTGTAAATTCAATGAAGATGATAGTATGCCAGAGTTTTTTTTCCATATTAGTTGACCCATGTCGACTCGCAGGTGAGCAAAGGTTTGATTAAAAACACTTAACATGAAGCTGTGTCAGTGGGTGATTCACTTTTTAAAGGTGTTCAAATATATTTGTGCTTCTTATCAAGTTGAAGCATTTCTGTATAGTGGCTTTATGATGACACACTGAAAAAGAACACTTTTTTGCGTTACAGAGAAACTGCAATCACAAAACAAAAACCCATAATTGCTTATCAGTCAAATAGTTGAGAGAGTTTGAACGCTATATTTGGGTAACTTGACATTTTGTTGTGCCTTTTCTTTGTAGTTTAAGTTTTTCTAACCCTGTGATAGATCCCAAAGTAATCCAATCAAATTGTTTTCTACGACCTTACGTTTTAACCACCTGATGACAACCTAACAACAGTCTCTCTGTACAAACTTTGGTTGTAATGCTTCGGATATTCCTCCGCTGTCAGTCTAACAATGGTTTATCTTTGTTTGTTTGTGTGTCTCTGACACTCTGACTCTATAATGAGCCATCATGAGTTATTGACAGACATGTCACTGTGTCTATATATTTTAACATGACAACCGGTCCGTCCAGTTAGAAGACAAACACAAACTCACTGTCCACCAATGACCCACTTTAACTTTCATTATGCGACACTTTTACAGCTTAATCACAGCGTTATATAATGACTTCAGAATGACATACACACACACGGGATTGACTGAGTGATGAGGCAGCAAATCCTGGTGTGAACGCCGACATTAACTCGTCTTTGTGATTTGGTTTCTGGATCGTTTTGTTAACATCAGTGACTCAGTTACGCTGAGTCACAGGCAGATAAAGATGTGAGAAGAGAGCATCACAGAGCAAGTGAATCACACTCGAGTTCTGTAGTAGATGTTCATCTTTTACTCACATTAGACCATTGCAAATGATGAAAGAGCTACTTTGGTTTCATTTCAAAAACCCTCCGTATTGTTTTTTCAGTTTTTATTCTTATTGTCAAAATGGAAATATGATGATAATAGACTAGAATTGCACAATATAAACTTCAGGATTGTTCTTTTAAAAAGTTTTCATTTTCGTTCAGCTTGAAAGGAAAAGTTAAACATTTTGGAAAATGATTTTGCAGGTTCTTCATGGGTACAACCCACACACTCAGCTCTGCTGCTTATCCCACAAAGGCATGTTCCTTACATATTTGGCACCAATTAAAAGGGCCAGGGCCAGAGTCTAGCCTGCCGTTGCATCGAGGACTGAGCTAAACCAAAGCAACAACCTCCAGTGTTACAAAAAGAAGCCTACGTATGTAGAAGTGCAAAAACTGTAGTTCCACTAATGACCACTTGAGGCTGGCTCCAGAAGCAAAGGAATCGCCATTCAAGCCTTTATTAAAATGCTAATTCTAACAGCAGAAATAAACATGTCAACAGCTTGGTACAAAAGGGTTTTGGTCTCTATAATAATTTTTCCATTTGTTATGAATTAGTTTGCGTAATTAGGGATGTGGTTGATGAGCCAGACAGGAAGCTGTTGACCAGGAGGCTCCACCTCTTGTCTGTTTTTAAGATTGATGAGGTGGAGACAGCTACAATATGGCGACCAGACTGCCATCGTTGGGCTTCATTGCCTCTTCAACAACCAATGGGTGACGTCACTGAGATGATATTTTATACAGTTCATGGCTAAACCATGGCCTTGTGCTAAGCTAAGCTAAACTAACCAGATGATGTCTGAAGATTTGTGTTGAACATACAGGAGAGTTGTGTCCAACTTTTCTTTGAACTCAAACAAAAAGAAAACAAAGCCCTTCTCTATGAATGTTTAAGGAACTCTTTAAAGTTCTGTTCTGTATGAAATACAACCAACCAGGATTCTTTAACCGCTTCAAGTCCTCAAATAATATTCATGTCCAAATCTGAATATGTTGCAGGCATGAACAAGCTTCGACGCTGTACCAGAACATCAGTCTGACGGAGCCCAGGCTGATCCCTCAGCTGGAGAAAGTCATCATGAACTTCACCAAAGAGATCAAGCAGCAGAACTCAGAGATGGAGAACCTCGCCCTCGCCATCAAACGGTGAGAAACACCTACAGTACACGTATAGAAACTATCACGTGTACCTTTTAAATGATTCAGCCTTGTTGTCCAAAAGGACTTTCAGTTTGGTAAATACTTTTCATATAGTGAAGAAGTGTTCAGTTATGTTTTTCATGCATAATGGTAACTTGAAAAGTATTTATCGTGGCATAAATGTCAGAAGAAAATCATCATTTTAAAACAGATCCAAAATCTGAAATGCCTTCAGGTGCTCTGTGACCATGTAGGATGATAAAGTCAATCCATTTCAAGCCAGTCAAGAACACTTCAGAGCACTAAACACAGATTACTTCATGATCTGAATCAGGAAGGATTTCAGGCAAAGAAAGGTGTAGCCACAAGCTTAAGCCTGAATGACCTCATCTCAACCTTGGAAACCTTAAAAAGAGGGTGCTCTATACTGAAACACAGAACGACTTTAAGATCAAGCACAAACACAGAGAGGAGACAGGACACAACAGGGAGAGAGAGAGAGAGAGAGAAAGGATTGCAGAAGTGATCAGGTCCAGCACCGAGAAGATTATGTAACAAGTGTGATGGAGGAGGAAGAAGTGGGGAAATAGATGGATAGTCTCACAGCTGTGCTTGAGGGACAACAAGCAAACGGAGGTTGAACTTAAATGGAGTGGTTTCAGAGAGTTTACAGTATTGTTTTAACTAAATAATCCAACTTGACTGTTGCTCAAACAAATGCATCTTTACCCACCCAACCATCAGGTGTGCTAATAATCATATTAATGAAATAAGTCACAGAGTTTTCCACTGTCCGTCTGTCTAATCTGTTTGATTGAAACCCTTAATCTCATCTGATACTCTAAACTTGGGGGATGTGTTGTGTTTCAGAGCGCAGGACCAGGCCTCGATGCAGCTCAGTGAGATGGAGGAGGAGATGGACCAACGTATTCATGCTGCTGAGAGGAAAACACGAGAGCAGGTGGAACAAACTCAGACCTCTACTAAACCTTTTTCTGCTTTTTTTTTAAATATATGAATTCGACACTTGTGTGTGTGCTTCTCTGGAGTTTATGTGGGCAAAGCGATAAGCGAGGCGTTTGTTCAGCTCTTCCCTCATGTCAAACAAACGGCAGGATATCAGATTACTGATCCAGACACGGCGGCTGATCAGCTGATTTCACAGCTCTGTGGATCACAGATAGGAAACAGCAGATAGATAAAGATGCTAAAGCACATTTTAGCCTCCTGTGTTTAAAACGATAAAGCTGTTTATGATGGCGATGATAAGGACCGATGTGTGGATGAAAATGATACTCTACAAAGAATCAGGCTGCTTTAGTCTGCTGATATACCATCAACGTGTAGCCTAACTGAATTATTTCACTGACACCACGGCAATAAGGAAATGGATTTAGAATACAAGATTTCACAGAATATATGGCAAAATCGAAATGTTGAGTAAGTGTTGGATGATTGGACGAGCGTACGGGTTGAGGGATTAAGGTATTAAGGGACAGGAAACTGCAGTTTAAACAGAAGGACAAAGAAGACGGTGGACCTGTGTCAGCTGGTGCCAGGACAACATGAAGACCCCAGAGGGGTTTGAGCGGGGAGGCTGTAGTGTTGCTCTGAGAATGGAGCCTCCAGTGGTTTCTGTGTTCAGACAAACACAATAGGGGAATAAAAAGTGGTTTGGGGAGAAGGGACATGAGGCAGAGTAGGAATGGAGCTTGGCGATTTTCATTTGGATTGGTGGATTTGGGTTTTGATTTGGGGGATTTTGTGGGATCAAGACAAATTAATGTAATTCTGTCCTTGTAACCAACTAGTCTAAAATATAAAAATGCTAAAAGAGTATCTTTTAGATATTTTATTGCCTTGTTGGCCTATTTTTTTTCTCCTAAAGCCAAGAACTGACAATGTTGGAATTTTTCCGATATGAATTTTTTTGATTTAGCAATGATTGGATTTATTGAGTAAGAGAACGAAATGATTAATACAAATAATTCAATGTTTTATTGTCCTCTTGGGGGAAATTTGTAGTCACATAATGCACATTTGGTACATCAATCAATCAATCAATCAAACATATATTTTTATAGCAACTTTACAAAAAGCCCTTAACAACATTTAGCAAAGTTACATGGACAGATAATCCACCAGTAAACAGACGATAAAGGAGAAGCACACATAACAGTAACACATAGCAGCACACATAACATCCGATGTGGCAGTTTGTTGAGAGCATCAACAACACTTTTTTTCCTCTTATGACATTTGTCTTAATCAGACATCAGCACAGCACTAGCTGCCGGCGCCTTGACAGAAAGATCAATTTAGCAGAAACTAAGACCATGACGTAATGACCCACACGTCAGACTACTCGGTTAGATCCTCCCTTAACGTCAGAAACTAATTGAATTTAATATAATATTTATGGTGTGAATCTTTTTTGTAGACATAGAACTCTTTCTTATCTCTTCATATGTGTGAACAAACTTATGTAAGTGTACTTCATTGACTCAGGAGAGCCTCTGTTTGTTTTTCTCTTTGAAAGGCACACAAACTCTGAACACATTCACCTGTGTGTGTGTGTGTGTGTGTGTGTGTGTGTGAACAGAGAGGTTTTTATGTTTGGAAACTTTAGATGTTTCTAATAAACTCCACAGCCGCCTCCGTCCAAAGTCTATCCTCAGCTCAGAGGAAGCAAACACTTTCATAAATATAGTATCACAAATGTATCTTAATGTGGATTATTATTTAATTTTTTTTAAATTGTTTGTTTGTGTGTGTGCAGGAGAAGAAGAAAACCGAGGCGGCACTGAGTGAGCTACAGAGAGGTTTTGAAAATGATATATGTGAGCTGCAGTGTAAGATCCAGAGGATGCAAATGGTACGTTTATTTAACTCTTACCCAGCACACCATGTACACAACATCTTCACTGAAGTCAAAAAATATGTCACACTAAATTGATTTCCCCGTCAATTTGACTCACCGCGTCACTACTTCTTCACTCCTCATGGGGGAGATGTAACGTGAACAGAAGTTAATCAGCATAAGAAGAAGACATTGGGATAATGTCTTCAACAACAAACAGGTCAAACACATTGTTTCCTGCCAGAGGGCAGCTCGTATTTTACCTTTTTCAGACGCAAATAAACATTATGTTGTTTGTCCTTCATGACACAAAAACACTCTGTACTGCTGCAGAGTGGAAAATCAACTTCTTATTTTTAACACTGAGTTCATTTAGAAGAAAACAAACCAGGACTAATGTATTCTTTTGCGCTCATGGAAACACTGAACCCTGTTCAACTAGAACTCATTGATTGACGCTCCATCAGGATTTGTTTGACTGTATATGTGTACTGTTCAGTTTATGCTGTTTTAAATCCTGCAATCTGATGTAGGTCTATCTGAAAGTCAAATAATCTTAATCCTATGTGTGAACTTGACCTTCAGATTGAAGAGAAGTACAAAAACATCACAGTGAAAGACGAGAGCCCAGCTTTGAAAAAGAAGATCAACGAGCTGACGCTGGTGAGACTTCTTGGTTACTCGATGTTTTGGTCATTTAGGTATATGTTTAAAGAGGCTAATTGTTTTTGACACACTTAACTCTTTCTGTTTTGCAGGACAACCAGAAGTTAAAACAGGAGCTGATGAAATCTCAGACCAAAGTGGCGTGTCTTCGTAGTGAGATGGACTCGCTGCAGACAGAACTAACAGATCAAAGCATCACCTCTGAACGGTGAATTTTATTCAGTTTGGTCTGATTTTTCCCCCTTATTGTGTTTTCATATGTTTCATTTACATTTATTAAAGGTCACATATTATACTTTTTTAATACGTTTAATACGTCTCAGAGCTCCCCAGAATATGTCTTTGAAGTTTTTTGTTCTAAATCCACTCTGATCCTGTATTTGATCATGTCTATAAACCCCTCTGTGTCAGCCCTGCTCAGAACAGGCTGTTTCTGTGTCTGTACCTTTAAATGTAAATGACCTGTGTCTGACCACGCCCCCTCTCTGGAAGGGTTTGGGTGTCTTGGGCTTTCTCGCTCCATGCCCTATTGTTTACAGTGAGAAGGCAGACTCAGAGGGCAGAACAAACACCTAGCTGTGGGCGTGTCACCCATCTGGGGGAGGGGTTACTGCCCTTTGTGATGTCATGAAGGGAAAATCTCCAAACGGCCTGTTTGAGCACACATTTTCTGAAAAGTGGAGCAAGCAAAAGACGGAGAGGATTGACTCTTTTCATAATTATGGGGTTTGTAGACAGATATGGACACATATTAATGTTAGAAAAACATAGTCAAGTGTATTTTGCATAATAAGTGACCTTTAAAGTTCGATACGGTTATGGGTCATTAGGTTGGGGTTCTTTCTTCACTCCTTTAAGGCTGGATCACATACAACACGACGAGCCCTTTAAATAAAGTCTGTGCCCGACTCACTTAAGAATGATAAGTTACAACATTAGTTTTTAGTCTGTCTGATGAAGTTCCACTATTTGGAATTGATTTCCCAAACAAACAGAAGTGAACATTCCTTAATAACTTCCTTTCTCTCTTATACCATAAATATATATTAAATATGTAATATCCGGAATCCAGAATGGCTTTGGATTTCGTCCCATAGTTTCTTGCAAATGTTATAAACAGATTTTTCTCCGCTCATTCTATATCAGGTGATGCATTTTATATTTCATAATGAGATGGAAAAATGTAGTTTTTTATTTATTCATTTGTTTATTTAATATGGGTATACAGTAACGTTGGTGCTGTAACATCTAATGATGCAAAGTCCCAGATGCATTGCTCTAAGTGTTTATAGCTAAATGCTAATTTATAGCACCTGGTTATTTGCAATCATATTGACATTACTCCAACATCGTCTTTTTCTTTCTACTGTGCACACACACACTTTTTTTTCAGTGAAAACTCTGAAAGTCTAAACCTAGAATTAAAAGTTGTGGAGCCGGTTTTCTCGACCTCTTTCTCACCAACACTAGAAAATAATGTTGACTTCCTCACTGAGAAAACTCTGTCGCATGTGAAGCGCACCAAATGAACTTTTAATTAATTAATGATGAATCTTAAACTATTAAATTGTACAATCTGGTCTCAATCTGCTCATGGAACGACCCCACTGTTGTAAAGTTTGGTTCCAGAGTCATACAGAGGCTCCGCCCCCTCTGACTGAATAACAGAGCGTTCACTCCCGGGGGTGTTTTCATTTTGTCACAGCTGAAACAGGATATCCTGGAGTTACTTCACACACACACACACACACACAATAACTTCTTCAGGAACGTTGCCAAGCAACAGAAGCAACAGGGCTACACTTGTCCTCTTTGGACCATCTCAGTGTTTACATTGTTGCTTCTCTCTCTCTCTCTCTCTCTGAGGTGTCTCATGTTCATCATTAAATATGTGTGTCATGTCTTTGAGTGAATCAGCTGATCTGCTGCAGATAATCCTGTTTTATTGACATTTACTTGGATAAAGAGACATTTCTTTTTCCTTCCTGTCTGTAAGCTCATTCAGGATGGTTTGAATATTATACATTTGTTCTTTAAGTTGCACACCATGCCCTGTGAAACTAATTGAAGTGAACTAATTTTTCCTGATACGTTTTAAAGTTTCATAACTTGTGGTTCTGCTTGATATTCATACTAACTGTAGCGTTAATGTTTTTTTTTTCAGAGACGAGGAGCTCATGAAACATTTCTCTGATGAGCGAGACGTCCTAGAGAGTCAGATCGAGATCCTGCAGTAAGTCACTCACTCAGACTGTTGTTGAGCTTTTCTACCGGAGATGGAAAGAAATCTGTTTACACTCAAAAACGTTTACAATAATGATTACTTTTGTGTTTGTGTGTTTAGGACAGCCAACAGGAAACTCCACGACAGTAATGATGGTCTGAGGACCGCTCTGGAGAGGATCACCAGGGTAACACTGCACAGTTAATCAAAAAAGAAAAAACAATCAACAAAATCAAAAACTAGCTTGCTTTCCAAATTAAAGACTGATTTTATTTATGAACTGAAACAATAATTCTGATGCTTCTTTGAATAAATGTTGTGTTCACCTTTGGGTCGTTTGTCTGGATGTTTTCTCTTCTTTTTTTACGAGTTAAAACACATTCAAGTTATTCTAAAGGGCTTCAGCGATGAAGTCAGCTATGACTGTGCTGAAAGTTAAAGAAGTGAGTGAATGTGGGAGAGAGAGAGAGAGAGAGAGAGCATGCTAAAACCTGTTTCTGTAACTTAGACACATTGAAAAAAACATATTATACAGGTATAACAGTATTGAACACTGGTTATAAAGACAAACACAAACAATGGTAAACTAATGTGTACATGTTGTGTGTTTCAGTCTAATACTGCTGGGTCACCAGGAGAGATAAAGAGCAGAAACAGAAGTAAAAGCATCTGCTACACATCATCGCATGCATTAATGGATAGGTAAGAGCTTCAGTTCATACAGACAGGGATACATTTATGTCTGTTCATGCCTCACCACACCTGCACCACCTGTCAGTATATACACCATACAGGATGTTATTTGATTCCTTTAGAAGTTGAATTCTCATCGGGGTGATGCCGAGTCTGGATTATTAACAGCCGACATTTCATTACTAACATGTACATCAAAGTACAGACGTTTGAAATGTAACAGATTGAAGAAGATCAGCTGTTCAGCAGGTGTTCTACATCAGACCAGGTTTATCAGTTCTGTTTACATCTACAGTGCAGGAGGGATTGTTGCCTCAGTACATCAGTGACTAACATCAAACTATGACGCATTAGGACCTGTGGCCACAGACAGCGCTAGAAGTGTCAGAGCGCTTCTCACCACTTCTGCTTCTCTTGGTAGTGTCCGTTAGGTGTGTTTTAGATAGATCCATGTGCTTAATATTTACAGATAATATTTAAGGAAATATCACCAAGAAAACATGAGAACAATCTTAAGGATTCATGTCCTGACATCAGCAGCTCTAGTCTAGACCTGGAAATTGGACCTTTGAAAAGACGAGTCAGACTAGCGTCTCCTCCACCATTGTTGTTGACAAACCCTTATGTTCCCGCCCGTCTTGATTTGATTGGTCAATGAGGGAGAAGTGACATTGACGAGCTCAGCGCTGTTTGAAGAGTTGAACTGTTTTCAACTGAGGGGGCCGCGAGCACAGCAACAAGAAACAGCTGCTGCTGAGGGCGTTTCACAGCACTGAGCTAAATTGGTCTCTGTATTGAAAAGTAGCACTGCCAGCGCAAGAAGCGCACCATGTGTACACAGGCCATTAAAATAAAGTTTAAGTTTATTTTCCCAGAATATAACTATACATTTATACAGTACAAACATAACTGGGAGACATTTATTTAAGGTGCTGTCCAAGCCGAGAAGTGAGAATCATGATTGGGGACTAAAGTTTGGTCTCAATATGATAAAGAAGAAATAACCAGGGCACTGTTTCTGTGCTGTACATTTTGACATCTAAATAAAGGAGCATTTGAGGTGTTTTCTCTGAAGTTAATGCACATCAGCTTTTGGGGAATCAATCAAAGTGAAAGGTAAAATGATTAATCTAATATAATACTACAGTGTATCAATTATGTTGACTGTCATCGCTTTATAATTAAATGACTTTTTCAAAATATTTCTGGTTTCTGCTTGTAGTAAACCAACTAGTGTCGTTCCATGAGTGTTTCAGTGGACATTGAGTTCATGCAGACATCAGCAAAGAGCAGGGATAGCGAAAAAAGAGCACGCAGTAAACAATAACATAAAAATAAACAATAGTTGAGGAGCTAAAACAGAGCTGCAGTTGAAAAAATACTGTCATACACAGAGTGCACATCAGGGTGAACATGCAGGTTTGGTATATTAAATTTTTTTCTCTGAGGCTATAAACAGACATCTTGATGCTAAAGCTATGAAGTCCCAGTTAACGCTGCTCTAGTTCAGTCACTTCTTAAGTTTCTACTCAGATTGTAAACCATGAAAAGTTCTCTGAAAATGACAAATAATATATTTTTGGGCTCTTTGTGCCTTTATTGTAGAGATACGATGGTGGATAAAGTCGGAAATCAGAGAAAGAAGTCATTTAAGGAGACCTTCCGATAGAAACGGACAGCTGTCATTAAAAGTAACGCATGAACACCAAGATTCCTTCAAGTGTTTGTGTCGTCGTGTTGTCGTGTCGGCATGTCACCAAAAATGACGTTTAAAAAATGTCTTAGGTAACATCAGGTAATTTATATGTTTATCTTTTTTATTGTAAGAGAACTTTATATAAAAAATGGACTTGTGGACATCACCCATAGCTTAATGGACTATATTTTGGTGTCTAGTGTTCAGTTTTTTTGCCGCTGCAATCTTATTATTATTTACTTTGAGCCAGAAGTCCCCATATTTTAGGGAGAACGCTAAGCTGGAGGGTTAAGCCAAGAACAATACATATGCTAGTTAGCTTAGCTAGCAAGATCAGTAATTTATAGTAACTTTGAATTCAACTGGGATGCTATTTAGGCTGTCCAAAAAGAAATGCTCTCAACACAAGGTATTAACAGAAGAATAAACAGCTGAGTCCTTAGAAGTATGATCATTTTCTACAAACCATCTACACATCCAGACTCTCTGGTACAACCAGTCTATCACCCCCTACTGGCCAACAGAAGGAATGCAGGCTCATGGCATTCCCGCATTGTTTTCCCTTACGCTGTTGTTGACTGAGATACAAGCAGTGAATGTGTTCTCTGTTGTTAGGCTGCTCTGACCCTTGTGTTTTATGTCACTGATCATTTCCTGACCTCTCTCTCAGGTTCTGCCAGCGTATGGACGACTTCCCTCTGTACAGCCGCCGGCCCAGCTGTGACACGCTGGCGTTGGCCATGTGTGACCCCGGCTTGAAGCGCAGAAACAGCAGTGAGTGTGAGGAGGACAGCCTGCCTGAAGTCTACATGGACAGCGGCCTGTCTACGCTCAGAAGCTCACACGAGGGCTACGACTCAGAGCCCGAGGTCAAAGGTCCAGAAGAAGAGGAAGAAGAGGAGGAAGTGAGGGAGGAGAGGAAGAAGGAGGACAGCAAATATAACGTGATGGTGGAAAACTGTGACGCTGAGGTGAGACGTCGATTCATAAGCACATGAGAACATGTTCATTAACATTTGCAAAGTTTTATTCTCTTATCTCTCTCTATGTTCTGTTGGCATGTTAACAATGCTAATGTTGCATATGAATCATGCAACCATGTGTTAGCATGCTCACATTTACTAAGTAGCAGATCTTTCCAGGAAATGATTGGTCTTGGATTGGCAGATATCTTGTTAATAATAGAAAGTTTGCTCTGAAATCGGTGGACTATCAAAAGTCAATGGATTCACAAGTTATCATGACTTATCCTCTGGGGAGCTTCAACATTTGTACAAAGGTTCACTACACACTTTTTCAAAAGGTTACAAGATATTTCCCCTAAAACCACAAATGTTAACCACAAGGGGGCACTACAGGGATTGTCTGGAGATAGCAAAGTTCAGTGTGCTTCATCCACTGGGGACCATTATCATGTGTATAAAATACCCTACCAAAATATCCAATAGTTGCTGAGACTTTTAGTCAAGTCCAAAGTGATGGAAAAACTGATCAACTCACAAAAGAACAACCAGGTAGATAGATATAAGATATATGCTTAAAGACAAAAAGAGGATTGCATACATTTGTACTGATCTGTAGGCATACACATGACTCATTATCCATCAAATACCAGAGTTTGAGCTGGGAGAAGAGATTGGGTTTGCATGGAAGCTACACGTACAAGACATACAGGAGTGAAGCACTGCAGCCAAGACACTTTGTTTTGCTTTATCCTAAAGTAATGTTCAAGTCTTAGAGGAGAATTCTGTTCTAATGTAGAACAACACCTAGTTTTCAGCCTCAAACACGTTTTCAGTACTACAGTGCTGCACAGGGGTTTGGTGTTTTTAAGAATCGTGGTGAAAAGGTCAAGTTTGTTTCTAAGTGGACGTTGAATGTTTAAAATGTCCTTGTGTCTGCATCACAGCTGGCAGAGACACAGGACGCTGAGTCAGCAATCGGGTCGGACAGCAGCTCCATTTTGGACTGGAAGCCGTCTGAAGTACCGAGTGTGGCCCCTGAAGTCCTGAGTGTGGCCCCTGAAGTCCTGAGCGTGGCCGAGGCTCCACCCCCAACTAAAAGAAAAGCACTCAGCGCCATCAATGTTCAGGTAAGACAGGGAGATGTGATCACATCAAAACACCAGACAGAAGGACGTTCAGAGGGAATGTCTAAGCGACTGATCTCCAATAAGACTAGTGGGCTAGCCCGACGGTAATACTTTATACTTTACGACGCTATAATGAGAATATTTGTCTTTATATCAATGCTACATGTAGCTTAACAGAATTACACTATTGACAAAAGAGCGGAGAACAAAATACTGATGAACAGAACACATAATGCAGCCACTTAATTACGTGCACGGAGATCCGAGCGGTCGTGGTCAACAGCTCTGAGTCAGAGCTCTGTTGAATTTGGTTTCAATATCTACAGTAATCAGGAGATCATTCCCAATTATTCTGTTGACCATCTGTCAGAATTTCATTAAAAGAAACAATGACTTTAAAGTTCATTGTCATACTCACACAGCTTGTTTTTCTAAACACACACATTTGTCTCCAGTACAAACATTTCATGTTGTGCTCCAGTAGGCTCAGCAAACTCATCTGTATGTTCTTGGTTCATTAAAATACTTAAGCATTGTGTGCATTGCTGTCTCTGACTGCTGCTTTGGGGCTCCTGGAGTTTGTTTTATGTATTATAACATCTCCTTACGTAGAATGAGACATACACCAACAGTGAACGAGGAGATGACTGATGTTATACAAATGAGGAAAGCATCAGTGATCCCTAAGTGGACAAAATACATCTTACATGAAATGAATTTGCAGAACGCAGTCAAGCAGTCGCAGTCAGTTTGCATTAGTTTGTAAATCTGCTTCATCTTCACTCGGCCTCTGCTCCTTTTCTGCAGAAAGAGGAGAAAGACAGCACTGACCTGGGCTACATGACGTCAGAGAAGGCCTACAGGATCGTGTTGGCTGGAGATGCTGCGGTGGGAAAATCCAGCTTCCTGCTCCGCCTCTGCAAGAACGAATTCAAATTAAACACCAGCGCTACACTTGGTAAGAAGAACAAACTGAAGACATCTCTGTTTTTAAAAAAAGGGAGAAGGGGGAGGGGGACATTCTGGTAAAAGAAAACGAAAATTAGAGTCGTAAATCTGAAGTTTTACGTGTTGTCTTTTTATTTTCTTTGTGTTTTTTAGGGGTAGATTTCCAGATGAAGACACTCATTGTGGACGGAGAAGCTGTTTTACTACAACTATGGGATACTGCTGGACAAGAGAGGTGTGTGTGTGTGTGTGTGTTTTTCATGTGTGATCATTTTTTGATTCCTTTTTGTTATTTTGAACTGTTTGCGTGTTTTTAACAGTGACATTTAAGTAAAGCTCATTATTGCCTATGTGGGGTTTCTTAAAAAACAAATATAAGCAGATAGATTACAGTACAAATCAGACAAATCAGATCGATAGATCTATTTCACGTCTCAGGTTTCGCAGCATTGCAAAGTCTTATTTCCGCCGGGCGGACGGCGTGCTGCTGCTGTACGACGTCACCTGTGAGAAGAGCTTCCTGAACGTTCGAGAGTGGGTGGACATGATTGAGGTAACGCACTCCTCTTCACTCAAACAGAGGAGTAAATAATAACTAGTGTCTGTTTTAGAAATCCATCTACTTTTCTGTGATAGTGATTCAAAGAATTCTCTGAAAATGTAACTAAGTGATCTCGTTTGTTTTCTCTCTGTTTACATGCAGCTGATCTGTAAGTGCTGGACGTACTCTGATTGTGTTGTGCTCTTATAATGTGTTACCTGTTTAACATTCATTCATGCATGCAGTGTGTGGCTTGTTGTTATTGTTGTGAGATGTCTGGAAAAAATGTTTTATGCAAACCAGTGGTGAAAGGTACCTTTACTCATTCACTGATTCTATAATTAAAGGAAAAATGTGCGACATTTTACACATAACTACAGCAGATATCAAGTATATCCTGTAAATGTTTTTCTGAGTCATGACTGTCTACAATGAGAGAGAAGCTCGAGTCCCGCCAGCTGTACTGTTATTAGATCTGTGTTTACATGGACGGGACGGCATTGTGTTTAAAAGCTGTTTTAGTCAAAGACTAGAGAAAAGAAGAATAAGATACTCACGGCTTATTTGGATGTCACATAGGTGTGTTTAGATCTCGATCATTCTGTGTCAATTTATGTGCAATATGAATCTATGAGTTAACTAACGTGTGCTAACATTAGCATGCTAACACAACAATGCAGGCTGTGGGCAATTGCAGCTCAAGCAAAGAACATTTCTGTCCGCCGCTAGCGCTTAATGTTGCTTAATTATGGTGCGTTCTAATTCATAACTCCTTGTGAACTCGAGTGGACATCCTTTGGAGGTGTGTGGCTGGAGGAGAGCGGAGGTTTCACCAAACAGCAGTTTGTTTTGGTTTTATGTTGGCGCTCAAAAGTCGCACATTCTTCCTTTAACAACAATTTTTATTTACTGCTATTTTATACTTCAACTCCTCATTTTGGAAACTTTATATTGTACTACTCAGTTGATCAGTCTGGTCAGGAGTTACTTTGGCATTTAGATTTTTTATCAAAGATTAAAAAGGACTTCACAAGTATTATAAGACTGCACCTAGAAAGCTGCAACAACTTTTGTTATATAGAAGTTCTAAAACAAACTTCAGAAAAAGGTCTGAGTACTTGTAGTTCTTTCACTTTTGAGGTAAACAATGTGACACTTTGTGTCAAACAAATAATTTAACTTCTGCAAAATGTCGTTTTTTGTTTTCCATATTTTTCTTTAACCTTTACATTTTATGTTTATTTAAATGTATGTCACATCTGATGCATTTGTTTTCCTGCAGGATTTGTCCCATGAGGATATTCCCATCATGCTCGTGGGTAATAAATCTGATCTTAGAACAGAGGACGTTACCTGTGTTCCTACCAGCTATGGAGAAAAACTGGCCATGGTAACGCCAAAAAGATAAACACCACTGTTTATTCCATACTTGACTCTTAATATTTGATATATATACTCACACACATAACTAATATCCCACGCCCTAAACCTTTAATGATTTCCTCTCCTCACTCAACAGACCTACAACACTCTGTTCTGTGAAACTAGTGCCAAGGACGGTTCCAACACGGTGGAGGCTGTTCTACACCTGGCCAGGTGAGATACGACTTTTTTAATTCAAATGAAAATAGAAAAAACAGCTGTATTCATTTTAATCAATACTAACATCTACTAAAGTAAACAACAACAATAATAAAGTCGACTTCAAACAGAGCTTGAGGCTTGTATTCTACACTGTAATACTTTTTTTTGTAAGATTTATTTTGGGCCTTTTTGATTATTGATTTATTATTGGAGAGGTAGGACAATAGAGTCAGAAATCAGGTAGAGAGAAATACTGGAATGACCTGTGGGAAACGAACCACAGGTTGGATTTGAACCCAAGCGGCCCGCTATGAGGACTACAGCCTCCGTACACAGGTCGCGCGCACTAACCACTGTCCCAGCAGTGCCCCATCTCTACATTTTAATTTGAAGGAAAGATTTCCCTTTTATAAAGTTTTCTGACATATTTATATATATATAAAAAAAGAAATCTATCAATAGAGATATTCTTAATGCATTCAAACTCTGAGTGAAAATTAGAAGAGATGCATTGTGTTTTTGTAGTAAAAAAAAAAAAGGAATCATTACCACCTTATGTCAAGTCTTAACAAAAATAGGAATTATGACCTTTGCTGCCCTCTGGTGGGGAAAAAAGATACTGCAAAGACAACTAGCACAGGTGTTAAAGGTGCTGTTTAGTTTAGTTCACTCAGCTAAATGTGATGTATGTAGTCCTATCATTAAATAAATAATCTAATTAAGTACAAGCTCTGTGAATAATTAATGGAAATTAATCAGATATTGATAATGTGAGAAGGATTTCATTACAGGTGGATTTACCACTTAACCTTTAGGCAGTTATTGTTTTAATCTGATCAAGTTGCTTCCCTTCAGTTCTCACACACACACACACACACACACACACACACACACACACACACACACACACACACACACACACACATACACACATACACCCAAACCCAATTTAACCCCAAATATCTGCTCAACAATCTTCTGCCTTGAAACATATGAAACACATTGAATTGTTTTCTAACATGTGAATGAATGTATCCACACATCCCCCTTCATAAAATGTTAAAATAGTTATTGAGCATAAAGATTAATATTACTATAAAAACGGTAACAACAAATGCTTCTTATTCTGCAGACATCACTCACTACACACCCTGTATGCTCTTTGTAGCTGCACAGCTGTGTGCATGCTAAATGTTCTCAATCATCGTCTAAATAAACATTAAAAATAAAAGGAAGGTAAACGTGCTTGGGGCTTAAGTGCTGTATCTTCTGCCCCCGTTAACCTTCATGAAATGTGTTGGTTTATGTCCTGAATTTCATATTCCACCTGTTTCTCTTCTTTCCCTCCTGCAGGCAAGTAATCAAACAGGCTACGTTTGATGATAAAGGTCACTATCAGAAGCTCCCCAGCTTAGACGCTCCGAGGAAAAAGCCAAACTTCTCCTGCTGCAACTGATCAAATTCATCAGAATTCGAACGCGGCGGTGTCTTGATGTGAACTCAGCCCAAGTGGGGAAAGGACTGCACATGCAGACACTTGATAAAAGAGAAATGAGACATTTATTTACCTGCAGAGCTGCAGCAACAAGACACAATCATCACTGTTACTAACCCAATGGATCACAGCAGAATATCAACGGCTCCACGAGCGCCACTATTTTGTTCATCAACGTTTTTTAAACATGATGTATTGTGTTACTGTGCATGTTTAGGATGCATTTTTATTGTGCTATTGTCACACATTTGCATGAGGTCCTTCCACATATTTGTGTATGAATGCACCGTTTGCCCAGGCTGGTTGAAAAGTGAGTTCACAGTGAAAGAAAAAAGAAAGCATGAAACGTGAAGACAGCATGTGTGAGAAGGATCTGCACGTGAGGAATGTGATTGGACAAGTTGTGTGCATGTGATGAAAGATAGAGGGGCTGTTTTAGCATCACATGAAGGTTAGTCCACCAAACTAAGAAGAGTAGATTCTTCATGTTATTAACCGCAGCAGTTAAGTGTTGGGTCAAAAGGGATTGTGCAGTATGATGGTGGACAAGAAGAAAACAGAAGTTTAATGTCTGCATCGAGTTATGGAAAAGCTAAACACACAGCTTGTGTGTATACGATGAACCCTGGTGCAATATGTTATGGAGTGAGACTTTTTTATATAAAATCACAACCCATATTTTCTACTTTATATTACCCCTACAGTGTTACACTTCTATTCAACTGACTTCCCTTTTCATACGCCCAGTTTGTATGAGCAGGTTTGTAGTGGGAACCAAGTCCCTATTTACGTTTATGATGTGTTATGATTGATGAAAATGATATGAGAGGTGATTTAAAGCCCTTAAACTCAGATTGTAATTCAGTTTGAATTCATATCCTGATAATAACGCCATATTATCAACCTGAGGAACAGCAGTTTATTATTCTGTCAGTATGCGTCACATGAAATGCTCATTTGATTTTCAAACAGCATCGTTATCTAATCATAGTATTTCAGTATGATGACAGGCTTCCACCCTCCCCCCCTCCCCCAACACCCCCACCAGACGACTGAGTCTATTTAAACAAAGTGTTAAATACTTCAGTCGTCAACAATGATAAGAAGCACCTTTGAAGAAGCTGTGATAATTGAGGCTCACTGAAACCTCTGAAATGTTGTTTTAGAGCCCATGTGGTACTCAGTCTTACCTGTGATGTCATCACCTGACTTAAAGAGACTGGGTCCTTCATCTGAGTCTGGAGGAGTAAAACGCTGAAGAACCTGCAGTTTCTCTTTACTGTGCATGTGTCTATGAAGGAATTTGTATCTTCAATGGTAGAACTTTTAGCATCCGTGTGTGTTAATGTCACAAGAAATATCTGTTAATGTAACTAACGCACACCTGAAAATGATTTTCTCAATAAACTGTAGTCTTCTACTGTA